GTGTTAAAAGGAAAGTAATCCTTCTCAGTTCAGGCTCCTATTGCAAAGGAATAAGCTTTCAGGTTTCCCAGAATCCTGGCTGGCTGAAGCTGAATGAAATACAATAATCAAATGGCATTTAATTTTATATTCACCACTATAGATGGCTCTTTTGAAGGGTTCTCCAGGAATATTTTTAAGCATCACACAACTTACTAATAATGCTGGGTAACAGTGAACAAGCCAGTTAAGATCACATTTAACATCTACAGTCATTTTCCCTCATGCACAGCACATACCCAAGGGACTGGCAGGTGAACTTCACCATCCAGATCAAAAGGACTGCTGCCCAGTGCCCTAATGCAGCTTATGGACCAGGCACACAGCCACCATCCCCACTGAGCCAAGCTCCAGCATCCCTCAATACAGGTTCTCTCCTTTTCTAACTATGCTTTTACTTCACTCCTTGCAAACCAGCCCAGGACATAAAATGGGTGACAAAATCCTTGCTAACCAATCCTCAGACCACCTCCACATATTGAGTCATCAGTAACATAGAAAGCCTCCACTCTGTGCAGCATAACTAACAGTTTGATGAAAATAGCAATAATTAAAAATCAGCATTCTATTTATTTATACACGTATTGCTACAAGTAGGCAACCGATTGTAAAGATAATTCAGCCAACCTTTGGCAACAGTTTAAACAAACAAGATGACCATCACATTTTCAAGCTTATGATTCTGTTCCATTCCATGTCCCTTTCCCCACCAAGAGGCTTCAAAGGGCAAAAGATCAAGTAAGAACAATTAATTAGGAAAAACAAGAAGTAGCCACAAGCAACATATCTTAAATATGCATTTCAAAAAGCTACAGCATCAATTTAAAGGATCAAATTCATTTGCACCCACGAAGGGTACAGACTAGTATTGTAAACAAGGACACAAACATAGATGAGGCAATAGGAAAGCTACTGAACTGAAACGTGCAGCCAATTGAGTCATTTGAGGATGACTCACATGAAATCAGACTGCATAAGAAGTAAACCTCCTATTTTAACCACATCAAAGGAGGAACATACTTTTGACAGATCAATTAAATATCTATTGCTATAAAAGGTTACTGAAGCAGACTCATCTGGCTTCAAACATCAGAGAAACTGAGTTAAATTTAAAATGTATTAGACCAACACCTTGAAAATGAGACATGGTTTTCTAAATGAATGACCAACTGGGAAATCCACTTGGAAACCTAAATTAGAGTTGAACAGAACAAGTACATGATAGTCTGTCTTTAAATTGCAAATGAACACTGGAAATTGCACAGAAATTGTTATTTTTAATTTTTAATACAGAACATCCTCCTCTAATATATATTTCAGATTTTAAAGTGCAGAACATGAAAAGAAAATACGCGCTTAAAATTTGGCCCCTAACTTATAACAATGGAGATTTGAGATAGGGTGGGGGGCATAGGGCAAAATTGCCATAGCAGCACCATTCACTGCATAACTCAATTCTTCATAAAGAAATTAAAAAAAAAAAACACTAAAAACCAAAAAAACAGAGCAACCAAGGTGTTCCAGGTTAAAAAATATATATACAACTGCAAGAGAACACCAAACTACTGGGAAGTGAGTGGAAAAAGACAGATAAGCCACACACATAATTTGACCTGCATGAATTGTTACACATGTACACAAGTGTTTGCCCTATGTTATGAGACATCTGATCCAGAGTGACAATCGTAGAATCATATCATAGGATTCCAAGTTGGAAGGGACCTCAAGGATCATCTGGTCCAACCTTTCTTTGCAAAAGCATGGTCCAGACATGATGGCCCAGCACCCTGTCCAGCTGAACCTTAGAAGTGTCCATTGTTGGGGAATCCACCACTTCTCGGGAGAGATTATTCCAATGGCTGATTGTCCTCATTGTGAAAAATTTTCCTCTCCTCCAAGAACCTTATTAAATTCACGTTCAATTAAATCAATATTAGCTGTGTTAACAATCCACAGTATATTGTATTAAAACTGTTCTTACACCTTTAATCAAAATTTCATCCTATCAACTAAAACCTGAGAATGTCTGTCTTGGTTTTATAACAAATGTTGAGGGAAGAGGAGGCATGGAAAAAATATATGAATAATTAGCGCATGCAAGAAAAAGACAAGGAAGAACCTATGAAAGAGATAGAGGAATAATGTGAGGAAAAACTCGGGCGGGGGAAATGGTTTGACTGAGAGCCAATGGTAGACACTGCAGGGTAGACAAGACATAGGGAGAGCGAAAAATGGAACAGGGCTGAGAAGTCCAATATTTGAAGACTGGGATCAAGCAAGAAAAGCTAATAAAAAGGGGAAGAGGAAAAAAGAAATGGAAGGTGGGACAGGACACACAGATGTGGCAGGGCTGAAGCTAAAGAGAAACTTTGGAGGGAGGGAGCAAGGAGGGAGAAAACAGGAGTTTAATCTGGATGTGAGAGTACTTTTGCATATCTCAGTTGCACTTATGCAGAGACACCTGACAATGGTGATTTTGCCCAGTCCTCTCCTGACTAACCCATACAACTACACCATCAGGCAAGGCTTTCCCAGTTTCTTCTCAGTGAGTTCCACACCCTGTGAGGAGAGCTGCTGCTGCAGAGCCAGCAACACATTCTCAGAAATTGAGGAGACTTCATAGCCCGGCCCTCTACCAGGAAACTCTCTCACATCCCCTGGGAGCACACGGGGTACCAATCTGGGCCCAGATGATGCCAGTTTGTGCTGCTGGCTTTCTTAACTGTCCAGTTAAGATGCACTCAAAGACAACAACAGGCATTGCTAATAAGCATACACATAAACCTCTGAAATTCTGTAGCTGGACTCCAAAACATTGAGTTCTCTCAGTCAGGAGCGTCTGGAAAACCTCTACAACCATGTGGGAATTAATGATCTCAGTTATAATAAAGAAGTCATTTCTCACCATTTTTCAACTATGTCACATATGGAACCTAGTAGTTCCTTCGTGAATAACATTTATTTGTCAGCCTGAATTTAAATCTTTTCATTCAGTTATTGCCCGACTACATTTGTAAAGCATTTCCCTTCACATTTAAAGAAAGAGTACAAAAGCCACCAAACTATGAAAACCTGAGATACACCTCCATCTCTGCACAAAATTAAATATTCTGTCTCCCTCTACTGGCTCTGCATTAAATCAAACCAGGAAGAGAAAAAGAAAAACTAGAAAGCTGATATTTATTGTTACCTTAGAGAATTCTATACAACAGTCAATGCTGAAATAGCAGAAGAGTAATACTTAACTTTAATCATAGTTTCTAAACAGGTATTACAACAGAGAATACCAAGAGTCTTTCTAAACATAGCATGAGACCCATTTAAATTATTACAGGTACAGAACACCAGAGCTACATTAAAATTAAATTTAAAATCTCTTTATGAAATTTTCTACTAAAGTTATTTATCCATTAAAAATACAAGAGAATATTAATGAATATTAATGAACTTTCTGTTAATATAACTTCAGCTTATTTTATATTGAATCAGATTTAAGCATTCCTGCTTGCTTCCAGCCAGACTGAGTTACAATTGAGCTGGATGATTTTACTTATAAATAATTTATAGATAATATATGCAATTTTTTTAAAAATTAAAATGACAGGCAATCAAAATTTGTGATTCAAAGAACTCCTGAATTGCAATTTGATCAGTCAAAATATATTTAGTAATATAAGCAAGCTGTCACTATATAAAATACAGGAAGAGAAAAAAGAATGAGATGTCTTTTGCACATTCTTTAGATGATAGCTGCAAAGCCTTGATTTATTTTTTACTGAATTCTGCTTTTCTCAGCACATAAAGCACTCTGATTTCTAAGATGGATTTGAAATAATTCACAATGCTGCAGAACAACCCTCTGTCTTGTTACTCCAAAGAAGTCAAAATCACAAGAGTGATTATATTACTAGATCACCTCTCCAATTTGATTCATATCCTACACAGGGTTCCTACTACTACACAGGAAATAGACGGTTGGAGAGAAGAGCAGCTGTGCCTGCCTTTGCACAGCTATTGATCAAATATTGCCTCAAAGGTACAATTACCAGGAAATTTAAAGTTGTACATCCTACAGCAAAAGTTTATTCCCACATTCTCTGTATGGTGCTAGTACGTGTATACTGAGCAATAAAAATCACAGTCTCAATCTATTCCAAAGCAACTGAAGTTATCAGGAGTCATTCAACAAATCCCAGTGGCTTCAGACAAGATCTTAAAGCAAGAAATAATTAAGTTTTTGCTGTCCTGGAATACATACATCTGAATTTTTAAAAATACAAGCTGAAAATTAACATTAGGTAAATAGGCTATATTAATAATAAAAATATCTCACTTAAAGAGATGTAATATACAAACTCACACATAGTCGTCAAAAACCTGCATGCACGTGCATGGATATTAGTCAATAAACTGCATTACTTTAAAACTTCAGTTGTTACTGTCACATTTTAAACATAATGCCCCATTAATTTAAGTGTAAAATGTTACCTGAAATTTGTAAAAACACATTCATATTTAGGATGAAATCCCGTATCCCTTTCAGTCAATAGGGTTTTACCTAACAAATAAGGTCAGGATGCTCAGACCTTCAGAATTTATAGTCAAATCCTCTAAATACTCAAACATGCAAAATTAAAGCAGTCTCATTTAAAAGGAGACTGCAGTATATGCTTAAGTGTTAATGGCACTGAGGACTCAATTATCAAGCTGATGTTGAGAAAGAAAAAGAGTAGGTGAGAAATATGCCTACGCAGCGCATGACGGCCAAGAACTTCATGCTAGGTTTAAGTAAAACAAAGGAACATTTTAAAATGCTTAAAAATTAAGTTTCACAGTAATAGACAAACCCTTAACTACATTAGCACATGCCACTACAGTAATATTCTTTTAATAAAATTTTTTACATGCACCTCAAAGCTCCTATAGGCATTTTTGTGAAAACACCATGCTTTATTTACCGTACCTGAACATTTCTGTACCTGTCACGCTGCATGTTAATGAAAAAATAAGACAGGGAACATTAGGTTATTTTCACATGTCCTTTCTAAAGGTATCATTTCTTTTTACTTACGACATTACATGCAGTTTGACTTTAGTAAAACTAACAAAAGCACTTCAGCCTATTTCTAGATGGCAACTTTGCCAAGTCAAATAAAAAAGGTTTCAGTGTGCTGGAAGAAAAGGCTAAACAATTAAAGAGAAACATTTCTCCTCTTTCCCATGCACCCTCTCCGAACCTCCGAAAACACAGCTGCTGATAAAGAGGCTTGAGGGAAGTAGGTTTGTTTTGACTAATACTCCTCATCTTGAATCAACTCGATAAAAAGGAGTTACGAAGTACTAACAGTGCTCTGGGGAGACAGTTTCCAGTGAGAAGAACTTCCACTTCCAGCATCTCCCTTATAACCATATGAAAGCACATGGTTAAACATGGCGTGCACACCGGAAAATTAAACTTGGACTTTCTGTGAACTAAAGCTGAAAAAGCCTGGCAGACTACCTACAGTAAGGGTTAGTTGTCTAACCAATAAACAAAGCTGAGGCTACAGCAGAGTACCTGGCTGAGGTACCTGAACTTTGCCCATTCCCAGGTGCCACTGACATCACTGGAAGCCAGTCATATCTAAGGAATAGCATAGCCTGGCCTCTTGACTTTAAATCAAGTGCGAGGGCTTAATTGAAATACCTGCCACATTACTGAAATAAATTGCTTGCACTAGTACACTCACACAGAGAAAGTACTTACATCGTTTCTGGGAGACCGCCTGTAAACAAGCTGTGACAATATCACAGTTCTTCTGGACTTTATGTACAAGCCTGTCTTTCTGCTTCAGAAGGCGTAGCAACTTTGCCGATTGAACCGAGATTCTGTAAGTCAGTTCTCGTTTTATAGTTGTTAATTCATCAACATCTGCCAATAAGCAGAGAAAATAACTTCAGTACAGGCCAAAACACTCACAAACAGCTTATTGTAGTTGACACACAGAGGGACTTACCCCGAGGGCATTTGCACGTACAAACTTTCTATAAATTACAAGTTCTATTGGCTGGGATAAATCCCAATTATAAACATTTTCAGGATTTGAGCCAAAGTCTTTAATTTTCTTTTAAACTAAAGTACTTCAATTTATTGCACAGTGTATGAATCTTAATAATTATCCTGTTACAAATTGGAAACTTCATGACAGATGTAGCCAGAATATACTTATAGTAGTGCAACCAGGGGGTAAATCTTAAATACAGAACCTTCCAGAAGCCGCCCGTGGAAAACACGCATGGGGAATAAGTAAACAGTAACAGACAAAGGAACACGTTCAAGGAGCTGCCTGCAAAGCTAGAAACGCAAGTCCAGGGTGAGCTCTAAGTGGGAAACTCTTTACACTAAGATGCAAACTGGGTGGCTTCAGTCACGACCTCAACTCTTTCCACTGGTCAGTCACAGCACCACCAGTCCCTCTTAGGTCACCACAAAATCTCAGCTTAATTCTAATATTCCTGTTGTCTCCCATGTGGTGAGCTTCAGATCCAGGAGGAAAGGAAGTTGTTGGGGAGATGTCTTAAGACCATTAATTTTATTTTGAGTCCCCTGCTCTATTCTAAGAGGCCCACCCCACCAGTGAAAGCTTGGGTCTTGCCTATTGCATGCTGACTGCTTCAGTTCTTCCCTGAAATAGCCTGGTGCAGCTTGCCATCAGCAGCTAAACAGCTTTCTGCTCCCTGAGGCTAAGGTTTCAAATCCTACCACTTTCAATCCAACCATGCCCCCTTGATCCTGGAAGAAAAATCAATTAAAAAAAAATAAAAAATCCATACTTTGGTAACCTGATCCAATGAGAAAAATATTTATGCATCCAGGAAAAGCTACTATTTGTGGGATGGCAAACAGCTCAGCTCATACGGCAAAACTTTTTCAATAATTCTGGAAAGCTTAAAAAGAAGGACAATTTAGGCTGAAATGACAATCAGTCATGGGATAGTGAAGAGCATGGTATGACTGCAAGGGAAGGGAGCCACTGGTAAAACAGTGACCTGTATTTAATAGACACTACCCTGTTCCAGCACCAGCTGCTCAGCTAGAATTCCCAATGACTTGTACCAGGCAAGGTGACTTAAAACACCTATGGATTTTAAGAGAAAAAAAAAATTACTTTGCATTCGTACTGACTTGTACACTCATCACAAAAGTAGTAAGTTGAATTTTATTCTTTCCCATTCATGGCATTTAGCTGTCTCGGAAAAGTCAACTGATTTTGCAGCAAAATCAGTGAGCTGAAATTCTACAAAATATGTTCCTAACCAAGTAAATGTCTTGTTGAGTCCCATTACCACAGGGGACACAGAAGAACTTGAGCTACGTCCTGTAACATCAGATGGCACATCAGCTAATTAAGAGGCCAAACACGGAAGCAGAAAGCTGTTTGCATAGGTCTGAAAAAACACCTTTTATTCACCTCTTGCTTCTTTTTCCCCTTGTCAAAAACAAGAATGACTTAACATCAGGAGACAAGAGGCCTTTGTACAGCCCCTCCTCACCGGGTCATCTTGGAGTCGCAAATCTCAGTCTTTCACAAACATGCAGTGTTGTGGCTACTTAGCTTTCATAAGAATTCTTTGATAGTCTCATTTAGATTTTAGTTAGTTGACTATTACATTTGTATTTTTTTATTACACCTTTTTTTTTTTTTTTCCTGGAAGACATGCTTACCTGCAAATAAGCTTTACCATTGTCAGGTTTAGTTTAAGTCCACTAGAACTAAAAAGACCTGAAAAAACTAACCACCTCTTATGACATGGTATGTGTAGCATCTCTTCTAGCTTAAGAAAAGAGGGACTTTGATTAAAAAAAAAAAAAAAAAAGGAAAGCAGTCATTGATTCATTACAGTAAGTGAAGAAAAACACAGAACTTGGAGAAGCACAAGATCTGGTGCAATCTGTAAGAAAAACTCTAGCAGCAGGTGACCCCATTTTTGCTCCTCTGGCACCTAAAACGAAGGAAGGGGGGAGGGAAGGAGGGAAGCGCAGAGGCGGCCATGGTTTGAAGGGAACACCAGCTAACTGTGCCTGGGAAGCTTCTGGGAGAGACAGCCAGCCACAGAAGCTGCTATAACAGACGCGGGGGGTTACACACACATTCGTGCGTGTAGGTGGGCACGGGCAGCAGAGCGGGGACCGTGAGCTCTAAGCGGGACTCCCCGGCAGGCACAGAGGAGGGAAGCGAGGCGGCGGGGGCCCAGGCGGGGCAGCGAGAGCAGCGCAGCGCAGGGCAGGGCGGGCTGTACCTTTCAGCCGCAGGTACTTGACCTGGCTGGGCCGCTGCTCCAGCTCCCGGAGGACGCGGGAGCGGGCGCTGCCCGAGGGGGCGGCCGCCTCGGCGGCGCTGTAGAGCTCGGTGAGCAGCCCGCTCACCAGCGACGAGGTGCGGCTGGACCGGCCACTGCCAGCGCCCTCCTCGTCCTCATCCTCCTCTTCCTCCTCGGCCAGGCTGTCGGCGCTGCTGCCCGCCCTGCCGCCCGGGCCGGCCTCCCCCGCCTCCATCTTCCACAGCCGCCCGCCGGCGCCGCGACCAGTTCCGGGCTCGGCCCGTTCCACGGCGACACGCAAGGCGGGGGGGGAGGAAGGGGGACAGGGGAGCGCACGGGCCGGCGGGACGCTCCCCCGCAGGCAGGAGCGCCGTGCCCCGCCCGGGTCCCTCCCCACGCACCGCGCGGCGTGGTAGAGGCCGGCGGCGGGGGGGGCGTTGCACCTGCCGAGGGGCGGGGAAGGGCGGCCTGGCGCGGCGTGGGCTCCCTCAGGGCGCTGGGCCCCGGGGGCGGTGGGGCTGCCACGAAGGTCGCCCCGGGTCCTGCCGTCTGTCCCGCTGCTGCTCCCTCGCCGGGGAGCCCCCCGCAGCCGTCCGGTCACCGCCCCGCGCCGCCGCAGGGAGGAAGGCGGAGACGAGGGCGTGAGGAAATGCGGGGCCGAGCTCCAGTGAGGCGGCCGTCAGGCTGTCGTTAACTCCGTCGCGCGTCACCCTCCAACAACGCGCGGAGCAGAGGTGACGACAGGGTTTGTGCGGCCCTCGGGGCTCGGCTGGGGCAGCTGTGGTGCCCGCAGCCGGTTCCTGCGGGGGGTAAGGAGCCACCGTCGCCGGTGCAGCCTGCTCCCCCGGACCTGCCCCGGCACACCACCGGCCTGCGGCAGGACAGCCCCGCGCACACACTGCCCGCCGCCAGCGCCCGGCCGGCCGAGGCCACCGAGCCCAACTGTCCACGGCTACTGAGCTTGACCAGCTGTGGCCACTGCATCCAGCTGGTCACGGCCACTGAACCCTACGAACCACGGTCACTGAGCCCAACCGGCTGCCGGCAGAGCCCAGCCAGGCACAGCCACTGAGCCCGATGTAGCTATGGCCACTGAGCCCGACTGGCCATGGCCACCGGGCCCCTACCAGCTGCCAGGCTGCGATTGCCGTGGGTGCCTGGAGTGCCCAGCGCTCCCCGTGCCCCCGCTGTGCTCCCCGTCCGCCCCCGCCTTCTGGTTTTCTCCAACACAGGTAAATTATTTTCCCTCAAGCCGAGTGCTGACCGGGGGGGCACAGGGGCAGGCGATGGCGCTGCCAGCAGGCCGGGGCCGCCGCGGCAGCCGTGGCTAATCAGCACCGAGAGCTCGGTAGCAACACGCAGTATTTCACAACTTCAAGGAACCACTGGGAACGAGCCGCGGGACCGCCCGCCCTCGCCGCTGCCCGACGTCCCGCCATGAGGGGAACGGCGCAGGGCCCACCCCTAGGGCCCGCCCTCGACACCGGCTTCCCCGGGGCAGGGGGCGTGGCCAAACAGAAGGGGGCGTGGCTTCTCCCCTCCGCGGCGGCCGCCCGGGCCACGTGACGCCGCCCCCCGTCCCCGCCCGCCGCTCTCCCGGGTCATATGCCGGGGGCGGGGCGGGCCCGCGCGCTGCTGCTCGGGGCTCCGCTCTCCGCCGCGCTTCGTCGCCCCGCGGGGAGTCGAGCGGCACCGGCTCCCTCCGTCCCCTCGCCCGTCCCCGCCGCTCCGCCATGTCCCCCGCCGCGGTGGCCCGGGGGCTGGCGCTGGCCGCCCTGCTGGTGCTGAGCCCGGCCGGGGCCGCCCGGCAGGCGCGGAGGCCCAACGTGGTGCTCATCCTCACCGACGACCAGGACGTCTGCCTGGGCGGCATGGTAACCCCTCCGCTTTCCCCTCGGGTTGGGCCCTGGGGGGAGGCCGGTGGGAGCGTTGCGGGAGGCCGCGCCCTCGCCCAGGGGCTGCTGGCCGCCCGCCGAGCGCGCAGAGCCCGGCTCTGGGCCGGGGAGATCGGGAAGGGGTGCTGAGGGGCTCGGCGCGAGGTGAGGGTCGGTCCGGCCGCTGAGGAGGCCCGGGGTGACAGACGCGCGGCCGGGGCCCAGCCCGCAGCCGGGGACAGGGTCTCTCCCCGCAGCCTCGGGCCGAGCTGTCCCTGAGGGAGGGAGCGCGGTGCCCTGGGGCTGCTGGCGGGAGGCAGCGCGGTGGGGGGCGTCCCTGGGAGAGCCGAGCATCCCTGGGCAGCCCCCCGGCCTCCAGCGGGGCAAGGCTGGGGCTCCTTGAGCACAGCCTTTGCGGCTGCAGGTGGTCCCCCAAAACTGCCCATAGTCCTGCTCTCCCGGGCTGACTTGGGCAACCCCTGTGGCTGCCTCAGCGAAACACTGCGCTGCGTGGGGCGATGCCTGAATGCTGTGGCGGTGGGCCTTCCTTCAGGTGGTCCTACACCTGCTTCAACTCCCCTGCTCTACTCAGCATCCTTATGTCTTTTTAGCTGATTTCTGTTTGGTGTCTTTGTTCCAGACCCCCCTAAAGAAGACTAACGCTCTCATTGCGCAGATGGGAATAACCTTCCTAAATGCAGTAAGTGTTTACGTTAACTCTTTGAGCTTCTGAGGCACGTGTGTGTGTAGCTTGTGTTATAGGTAATCTGAAGTCTTGGAACCGGTAATGCTTTTACAAAGTCTGTACGTATGTGTGTGGGTTTTTTAAATTCAACCCCTAACTACCTTTAGGTCTCAGAATGAATATAGCTCTAGGTCATGCTCAGAGTCTGAGAGGGAGAGTTTCGCTTCCTAGAAGCCCTTGTGCTGACTTCCTTAAACTGTAAAGTAAAACTGAGTGATCTGAATATTTTTATTAAACTGAGAAGCATTAGAAGCTACTTAAAATTCTCCATTTCACACATGCTGAAAACCCACTTTACTCTTCTCATATTCTAGTGGTGGCTAAAATGTGGTGCTGTGGCTAAAATAATGGCACTGAATTAACTGGCAAACAGTATTTTAATGGTTACTTGCTACTATACAAGAACTTGCTACTATATAAGAATCTAATCTGAGGGGGGTGGGGAGGTTGAAGGGCAAACACTGCAGAAACCTAAAACTGGTTTCAAGTGCAGGTTTGCACTAGTGAAAATCCTTGGGGTGTAGCTCTGTGTGTCCAGAAGGAAGTATGCTTTAAGGTTGGTAAACTTCTTAATCGACCTATTTGCTGATCTATTTCGAAACTATATGTTTGGAGGAAAAACTGTTTTACATTGTCAGTCTTTTGTCTCTTCATTCTGTCTTCCCAGTATGTTCCCAGTGCACTTTGCTGTCCCAGTCGAGCTAGCATTTTAACAGGAAAATACCCGCATAATCATCATGTTGTCAATAACACCCTGGAAGGAAACTGTAGCAGCAAGTTATGGCAGAAGATTCAAGAGCCATTCACCTTCCCAGCGCTGCTCAAATCTATGTGTGGCTATCAAACGTTCTTTGCTGGAAAGTATTTGAATGAGGTATTTTGTGCTCATTTTCTTACTGTGATGCAGTTCATTTGCGTTTGTCCACCTTTCTGAAACATTCAGTGATTTTCATATTTGTAGCTGATGGTACGTCCCCAAAATATTTTAAATCGCGTTACTTGGGTATCTCTGCTGAGATAGGTTAAATATGATGCAGATTTCAAGTCTTTAACTTAACTTGGTTGAAATCAGGTTCTGTAGGTGCCTGGATGTTTTTAGAAGTTAGTTTCGAAAGGGTGATAGAATCCAAAGGCTTTTTTAATATGTTCAGCTGTGTTAATTTTTAGAGATGATGATTTTAATCACTAGGGCAAATAGAGAGATGACTGGCATGTAGTATTAAAGAACACCACCAAGCCAGTGGCAGACCAGGCACAAAAAACATTAAAGGAAAAAAAACGGTTTGTCTCAATATTCCTGACTGATGTATACCCTTGAATCAGAGGACTGTTTCCTTTTTAGCAGTTAATACAGTATTTTAAGTATTAAATGTCTACTGAGGGAAATTCATTGGGAAAACAGGTAGTATCAGAGCTCTTTACAGAGCTTACCCAGCACTTTATTATTGAATCACTTGTATGTGTGTGCTTTTGGGGTTTTTTTCTGGTTTTAACTAAACTGTGGTTTGTAGAAGTTTATGGCAAGCTATAAAATTCAGTGCTGAAAGCTCTAAGATCAGGTGGTGCTCTTGTGTGATGGAATTGTATTTGGAGCTAGATGAGTTACAAGGCTCTTAACAGTATTATTTTCCTTGCGTCTCTTGGTGGAAAATGTTGGGGGTATAATAGAATAGCAGAATGTAAGTTTTCATAGCCAGGCACGAATTTGTTTCTGCTGATGTTACTGAGGCAGCAAGGGGAAGGGAAACTTCTGTGGCTTCCTCTGAGCATCCCTTGACTCAGCACAGTCTCCTGTCCCTGCAGTTAGGCCAGACGCATAGATGGGAGAGGGCAGTCCTGAGAAAAGCCGTTGTGTTGCTCTGAGGCACCCTCTGTTTTGAGTCTGGCACTGATTCAGCAGCAACTTCCCTTTTTTTGCTGGCTTCAAGGCTAGTTGTAGATTATTTGGCAATGAGGTGACAAGAGATCAGTGTTCCTTGGAAGTTCGTACCCCCTTGATGAGGAGGATGATAGAAGCTGTTGGTCCTTGCAAAATTTTCTTTAGTATCTTGTGAACTGTTATCACAAAGCCTAAGAGTGTCTTGTCCCATGCCACATGTGTGTTTTGATCACCTCTCATTACCTGATGATGTACTGCATGTTCTCCAGGATGTCCATGTATTTTCATGTGTGGAGTAAAACAGGGAATACAATTGAAATGTCATTGTTGAATGCCAGGCTTTCAGTTACTGTCTTTCTATAGAGTTATTGAATTCTGGTCTGCTTCACAGGCTGTACATGTGGTTTTATTTATATGCATATATGTTTGATTTTTTTCAATTCTGAAATCAAATTTGGCTTAATGCGGTTTTTGAGCAGTGTTGAATAAAGCGCATGAGTATGAAACATAATTTCTAGCTTTTATTCATCATAATTGAAACTGTGAGTCATGGTCTGTCTTTTTTCAGTACGGAGCAGAGGATGCAGGGGGAGTAGGTCACGTCCCTCCTGGATGGAGTTTCTGGTATGCTTTGGTATGTGACTGTTCTTTTTTTAAAAAAGTACTTTATTTCAGTTGCTTTGTAATCCAACTCATGTCCTAACTTTGCTGGTCATGAAAGAGCAGGCAAGAACATCTAACAAGTTAATGCAAGTTTTCTTCCCTTTTTTCCTCTATTGCATATCACATCCTTGGCTTTCACAAAAGCTACTCCTACTAAAGTGCCTGGGAAGAACCCTATTTATAAAGCCACAGCAATGTGAGATAGCACTTATCTAAGTTTTGATGTTGGAGACCAGTTCTGAGAATTCTTGTAGTGTCCTTGTGACAGATGCTGATAACCTATTTGACAAAGGCTTGTTGGCAGCTCATTTTGATTATTTCAAGTAATCAATGTATGTGTTACTTTGCATAAATTTGCATGCTTTGACTTTTCTTTTTCACAGGAGAAAAATTCCAAGTACTACAACTATACTCTTTCAGTAAATGGCAAAGCACGAAGGCACGGTGAGAACTACAGCGTAGATTATCTGACAGATGTTCTGGTAAGAAATGTTGCTGTACCTGTGTTGCAGAAGCTGCTTATGACTAGATCATACCTCATGCTGGGGGCTTGGGGAAGGGTGGAGATGATAATTTTTTAGGCTGTATTAGTTCGTAAATACATGATTGTGCTGTCGTGGTGGTGGGTGGGCATTAATCAGCAGAGCAAGATTCTGGATATATTTAGAAATGACAAGTTTGTGCGTACGAGCTGTGGAGAGGAAAGGGACTCCAGCTGCCCATTTGCTAGCCAGTAGCCTCACTGAGGGGTTAGTGCTGACTGCTGTGGTGTGTGAGGAACATGATGCGTGTAGGCAACATCTTAAATTATTTCACAGAAGGATGTATTTCATGACCATACACAACTTGAGTAACAGGAGGTTAAACATGTAAAAATAACTTTATACAATGTTTTGTTTGTTAGATATTATGATGTGTCAGTATCTTGTAATCTCTAACTAGTCTGATAACTTGGAAATATCAAAGGCTAATTGATCCTTCACACTGTGTGAGGGCAGTGCATGGACTGTCCCAAAACGTGTAGCTGACCAGGGGAGTCTTTTAGCCTCTTTATCCTCTTAAGGTAAAGAGAGGTAACAAAGAGAATAAATACTTAAAAGGGAAGTTGGAAGAGTTATTTTAGCTGTCTTGAAGCCTTGTTTAGCAAGTAGTATTAGCTTGGAGGGTTTTTTTTGGGAGAAGGAAGTGTTTGCTCTGCCCACCAAGCTGGAGTCTCAATTGACACGCTGCTGCAGTGTGTGAGGAGGTAGTGCTGGGAGCTCACGTGCAGCACTCGGGGACAATTCTTCTCTGAGAAGTTCCCTTGTGCGGTCGATTTCTAGTTTTCCATTGAGACCATAATGAATTTCATTCCAGTGAGTTCTTGAACACTGACGGCTGCTTATGAGGAACAGAACTGATTGATGTTTCTTAGGGTGCTGAACAGCTGTCTGATTAAATTTAGATTTACGCTGTCTAAAGCTAGATTGGAATTGATAAGCTAGAAGTGAGACTATCCTATGACTGGTGTTGTACTGGTCTTTTTTGATCCTTTACCAACCTGTAAGTGTTTTGACCAACAAGTCATTGATGCATAAGCCTCTTATTTGTGGTGTGTTACTGATACAGCAGTGTTGCATTCTGCCTTCTGTCTGCAGTTACCAAGTATGTGTTCAGCATTTCAGAGCTAGTGTTTAATTCACTCGATGGGGCGTACAGAGGAATAAATCGTTCGTGCAAAGTTCCTGTGTTCTTTGATGTGATGCTTTTTTTTGTCCTGACTAAGGACATCTGGGTGCTTAAGTTTAGTATTAAGAATTTGAACACCTGAATCTATCTACTGCAGTCCTGGCATGTTGCGGTTTTAAGTTCCTAACAAAATTTAAGTAGACTCCTTCTATGACTATATTCAACCTGGTTGAGTAAACCATCGTACTGGTTTCTGAACCAGGTTTTCAAACTTACACTGTTCTTATTCTCCCGTAACTCTGCTGTGCTTCTAAGCAAGTAGGGCTGCACTTACATGTTACACTTACTGCAGTTACATGACAAGTTAGGAGGAAGGAAATGGAGGGAATTCCTACTGTATTGTTTCTTCTAAGGAAAGAAAAGGATATCCAAAAATGGGGAATACTAATCAGACAGGAAAGGAAAATGTTGCAAGATTTAAATAGTGAAGAACTCCTCTGCGAATAATAGCTTTGAAGCTTTAATTTCAAAGGCTAATCAAGGGAAGGCCAAAATGGAACTCATAGTCTCTTCTAACTTGCTACTTGAAACAAAAATGAAAGTCCAGTGAAGCGGTGTGAGCGAGTGGAGCCTGGCACTCTCCTTCACTAGATAGAGCTTCTGGCTTCACCAGCAGAAACGTGGCACCCCTTAGAAACTAGGAGCTTGCTACAGAATGATCCTACTTTTTCAGAACTATTGCTATTTCTGAAGACCTCTGAAACTGCTAAGCTGTGATCTGTCAGGCAGGAGATTGGAGCTTTCTCTAACACAGTCTGAGGCTCTCAGATGCAATTTTACTTGATGAAGGCAGGGTTTAGGTGGATTTTGTTTATACTTGGAGTAGGCAGAAACTTGATGAACATTCCAGGTCTAAATAATGCGAAGGTCTAAAGTGGAAAGCCGTTCAGAGATGGTGGGACAAATGATTTAATTAGCATGGACACTTTGGATTTTTTTATTACCGAGTTGCTGTTTATCCAGAGTTGCTGTTCTGGACATTTGTAGATGGGCACACACTAAGTTTCTGAAAGTGTTTAAATGTTCCAAATAATACTGAGCTCTAAATAAGTTATGAGTGTCTAGTTTGGATTTTTCAAATACTTGCTGTTTTCCTTTGGAGGTATGACTTTTCTTCTCTGACAAAACTGTTTGCAGGCCAACATGTCACTGGACTTCTTGGAGTATAAGTCTAATTTCGAGCCTTTCTTTATGATGATCTCAACCCCAGCCCCACACTCCCCTTGGACAGCTGCTCCACAGTACACGAAGAGCTTTCAGAATGTCACTGCACCAAGAAACAGCAATTTTAATATTCATGGCAAGGTAAGCTAATTAGCAAGAATCTGCACAAGTTATTCTGTTAGTTTGTGAGAGCAATAGGCAATGACCCTGACTTGCGTGTTAAGCTCTAACAGTGAGAAGAATAGCCTAATACCATGACGGCTGGTTATTTAGTTATGTTAATCAGCCTTTCAGGGTAAGATACGTTTATTGTGACTTTGAGATATTTGCATACTAGTATCTTGTAAATAAAAAAATGTAGTGACAAAAATAAGGCAGTACAATAGAATTATGATTGATAAATGGAAAAAGTTAATTCCTTGTCTAATTTCCAGACTGTTCTGAAGCTCTTAAAATGTTCTTTCATTGCTCTTGGTGTGTTCAGGAGAACACATAGGCAGTGCTGCATGAAGGCTCAGGTGAAGAATGATGAGACCCCTGTCTTCCTACTCACGTCTGCCCACGTGAGTGGGTGGTTGATTACTTGAGTTTATGGCAAAGCTGCCCCTGGTTGATGAGAACATCGGGCTAACCAGAAGAATTCGTGAAATCATGAACCACCAGGGCCCAGGGTCACTGAGGACTTTGGGAAAGTTGCTTTTCATTTGTTGGAGTAACCTGTAACCAGAATTGCTGAGCCTAAAGTTACAAACTCGCAGGCATCCTTGTGGCAGGGCAGTACCTTCCACTGCCAGTAAACTTGGCCAAATATGGTCTAGCTCAGACTAATCTGCTGCTACTTACTCTGCCAGTAAGTGAAAGTGAAAGTCACAAGCAGCTAATCTGGTGAGATATTTAGTTTACAGGGGTTTTGTGGTTTTGATTCAATTAGTCTAAAATGTAGAACTCACTACTGTTCAGTGTTCAACGGCTTCACTTCAGGATTTGCTCCTAATCTTAAATGATACCATTACCTAAATGCCTGTCTGGAGCAGTACGGTGATACCTCTTCTAAGGCCACTGTGACTCTCTACAGGGTGAAACCTTTTTTAGCTGAAGATTGTAGTTTGCAATATGACCACATGCTTATCAGCATGATATAAAAATATGAATGAAAAGGATTGCAAGCAGCAATGAATATTTTAGCCCAACCTCTTAAGTTTTGAAGTAGGGAGTGGAAATCAGATTTTTTGGTTTTTTCTCCATAAAAGGAACTCTAACTTTGTCTTAGACTCCATCACTGTAATAACTGAATGCTTTTAAAATAGTGAGACAGAAATAACTTGACCAGCAAAGTTAGCAGCTAGGCAAAAAATAGCGTGGGAGTTCCCTTATGTGGGGCAAAAGCTCTGCATATGTCTATATAATACAAAGCAAAATAACAGACTTACTTAATGTTTGGTAGTTAATATCTGTGGATACAGCAGTTTTACTAAGTTTCACAATAGAAACAGACTAGCATTACCCTTCTTCCTAGACACAAAATAGCTACAATCATTAGCAGTGTGCGTTTCGGTAATTGGCAGTGTTGTGATCTTGAAGTCAAACTCTCCTTTGAGCTTCTCTGTTTTCTAGGGCAAGCACAATTCCTGCAATAGCAATAAACACGTACAAAGGCTCAGACCTTCAAGTCATTGGTGTTGTAATGCTTGCTAGACAGTCTTGCCTGGTATGGCCTTGATTCCTAAGTTAATGTTGCCTCGCTTCCTTAGACAGTCTGTGGGCAAGGGGTACTAAAAGGAGCCATCCAGGCAGAATGCCTGCATGAAAAATAGGAGTTAAACTATTGTCAGACTCTGGCCAGTGACATGTGCTTTTAACTTCTGCTTAGGATCCTCAGCTGTGAACTGTATCTCATGATTGGTAGCTGTCTGGTTTCCCAAGCAGGACCGTTGATAGCCCTGTTGAGTGTTTTGTCTAAGCTGTTCTGAGAGAGAAGCTCATTAAGATACATGTTGGGTATTTCTCTTGCGTGCATTGTTTTTCCTGCACATTGGGAGCACGGCTGTGCTCATGTTCTGCTGGCAAGATAGGGTATGTGGTCCCAGGATCTCTTAAAATATCTTTGCAGATGGGACCTAGGGAGGCAGCAGGGTTAATGGACAGCTTTGTATGTAACTGGTGAAAGAGACTTGACAGGGACTGAGAGTGAGTGTGAAGGTTGCTGAAATCCACAAAGGTGTTTAGATACTGTGTGAAGTTCTTGAAACTTCAGAGAAAGGTAGGAAGAACAAAATACTCTAGAAAAGAGGAACATTCTACTGCACTAGGTGACTTATCCACCTGCGTTACCCAGTGTGGTTGTGCCTTATGGAGAGTCCCTCCTAAGCCCACCTCTTGTGAAAGGTGGCTGGTGCACAGGTGATATTGCCAGCTCCTTTGTTCTCTGAAGAGCTTCTCTTGAGCTGGGGATGAGGTTTTGATGCCTTTCCTTATTTTTCCTTCTCTCAACCAATGCACAAGTCCTAGATGTTTGGTCTTGATCATGCTGCGTTTTCACCTAGTGTCTCTCCAGAGAATTGTTTTACAACTACTATAAAGGAGAGATCTGAATACAACTGAATTAAAATAAACTGGACGTGGTATTAAGTCTCTGTGCCAAAAATCCTTCCTTCAGTCGGCAAGAACAGAAAACAGGGGAGCTGAAGGGTTGCAGGAGATATGAGTCATTTCACTGTGAGTTCTTAAAGCCTGAGCCAGTTCAGAGTCACTTGCTTGTGACAGGAGGGAAATTGCCTAAGGAGAGGCTCTGCTGAGAGGAGTGACCAACTAAATAAATACAGGCTCAAGCTGAGGGTGATGAGAGGGTCACCTGTGACCTACTAAATGAAAAAGGGTAAAGCTGCATTGGCAGGACTTTCTCCTTTATTCTGCTCCCCACTAATACTAACCTTGGGGTTGTTCACAACAGATCTTCCTGTGTGCGTGTCCAGCAGCTGACCCAGTTGAGACTGGTGCTTCAGGATGTGGGAGTATCACTTTTCATATGAGTTAAATCATCTCCCTTAATTTGGGGGGGGATGGGTGAGGGGAGAAAGGAAGGGGCTGTTTCTGAAAGTTGGGGAGTATCAGTATCTTCAGCTAAAAAAATGCTCTTGCTCTGGAGTCAAATAGTCCAATTAAAATGGTAATTCTTCTGCTCCCCTCAGTAGTCTCCAGCCCTGAGTTCACAGTCTACCAAGAGTCTGATAGTGGCACTATCACAGATCTTTGTCCTTGCCAGTACATTAATTTAGGTAGTCCCAATTGCTTTTGATGCAGGATTTTCTTTCCACCTTTCTACCAGACTTAGTCCAAAAGGACCTCACTGTGACAACCAAGTCCAATCTTACAATTCTGCTCAATTCTTCAGATTATTTTCATCAGACCTGTCTCAGGCTGTCAGACTTTTATCTCTGGGAGAGCCTTCCCTAGCTCCTTTCACAAATTTCTTCCCTGAACTGCTTTGAGAAGATCCACAGCTATTTTCTTCTCACCAAGGGCTGAGCCTAACAGAGCTGTAATGTATTCTACTCTTGCAACTTAGGTTATTTTTTTTTTTTTTTACATGAACCAAGAGGGAAAACTGGAGTCCGGTCAGTTTGCCAGCATTCCCTGGCTCTTTCACAGGAATGGTGTGGATGTTTTACCCTTAACAATATTTTCATTGTAATTGTATAAAAGCTGGTACTCTGGTACTTCTCTCCTATGCTAATGTTTTTCTGGTTTTTTGTTTGTTTTTCTTTAGAACAAGCACTGGCTAATTCGACAAGCAAAGACTCCAATGACTAACTCTTCAATACAGTTTCTTGATAATGCTTACAGAAAGCGGTAAGAATTTTTTTGTTGCTTAAGTTTTCTACTCAGAATTTTTACTGTTTTTTTTCTTTTAAAAAAAAGGTATTTTTTTTAAAACAGTTGTAATAAATCTGACAATGGATGTCAAATTACCTATAGTAATTTGACTGTTCCTGGTATCTGTCTCAGAAAACCAGACTTTCTATTTGCTTTTTGGCAAAGAAACTTGTCATTGACTTTAGAAATATATTGCTCCTGAATGCTGCCATCGTTTATCAGAAAAAAGACCAATCACACTCAGTGTCTCTACTGCTTCTCTTTTGGTACACAACAGGTTTTCATAAAAAATGGCCTTACCTTCTACTTCACTTGAATTTCAGGTACTTACATGATGTACATCAAATGAGATTGATTTATCTGCCAGCTAATCTAATTTATTAACCTTGGCTCTGTCTGTGAGCTTTTTATGTGGGAGTATCTGACTGGCCAAGGCGGGTGCTTGATTCCCTTTTATAAAAGGGGATGTGGGGAGTAATATAAAGATGCAACTTGTTCTGTCTTTTTAATAGAAAGGAAGGGTATTTCTTTGCACTGTAGGTGCACTTTCTTTAAAAGCTCTGAAACAAACATAAACTTGACTTTAAGTGTTAAACTTCATTTTGAGCCGTTATCAGGCATTTGCTTGTCACTTTGAGACAAAACAAATTTTTTTTCAGGCTCTTGCTTTATAAAACATGAAGGTAAAGTTATGCAACAGTATCTTAAATTAAGCCTGGAGACAACAGGATCTAAGAATTGAATGTCTAGTTAATTCAGCCTAATACTAGCATGTGGAGGCTTGTTATTGACTTATCAGAAGCAGTCAGTTGTCTTAATGGGAAACCCTGTGACAAAGGAAAGAGTAACTTACAGCTGTTCAAAGCTTTAGAGACCCTCAAATAATGGACCCCGATATTGCATGAGTAACACAAAATAGCTGATGTAGTTTTCAAGCATAAAGGATCCCATATAGACAATTAAATTCACATCAGTCTTGTATTTTAATATTAAAAACTACATATGAAGAACTAATAACAAGTGACCTTGCAGGAGATAATTCTGACTCTTTCCCACCAAGTTGCTTCAAAGCTGGTCTTGACTGTCTCCAGATAAGAAGTAATCGGCATTTTGACGTCTTTCTCAGACACTACAGAACAAAATCATCAAGAACTGAAGACAAACAGTCTCTTTCTATCTTAAATTGCAGCCTCAAAAAGTACAGTGTAGCAATCTATGAAGTTTGTTTTCAGAATTTGCAAGCAAAATAATCCACTTACAGTGCATATGCTGTTGACTTGAAGTAGAATACAAATGCCCTACCTGCAGTCAGAATAATTCTAAGTTTTTCATAATTTTTTTTTAATATGAATTACTTTGTTTCTGTATAGGTGGCAAACTTTGCTGTCAGTAGATGACCTGATAGAGAAAGTAGTGAAGAAGCTGGAACTGAATGGAGAATTAGACAACACATACATCTTTTACACATCAGACAACGGCTACCACACTGGTAAAACTTTCACTGCTTACTCAACTTTTGTAGAAGGTCCAGGAATTGCACAATGTTTCACCCTCATGACTGCTCAGGAAATGGGAACAGCAGATGTAGAAAACTGTGGACATGAAAAGTATTGATTTGAGTTGAAAAACAATCTGGAGTTGCAGTGTGGGGTGTTTGGGGATTCTATTGGTTGGTTGGGTTTTGTTTGGTTGTGGTTTTTAGCATTAATCTCTGCCACTGTATCCTGGTATATGTAAAATTAGGACAGAAATGGAGGGAGGGTCTCTGTTCCATAGGAAGAGTTGCCATGAAAGAGTTAACTAGTAAAAATCTGTGAAAGACCTGTCTATATCACGTTTTACAACTGAAAATGCAGTAGCTAAGCTGTTAAACTTTGTCAGATATGGCTTGTACTTTGATGTTATTTGTTCCTGTTCTCCACTTTGTTAATGTAGTTCCAGTTAAGAACCTCTTCTGACTTCTTAAAAAATTGGTTTCTGGAAATTATGTAACACAAGACTCTTAAAATGTAAAACAAGACGCCATTTAACTTTTTCCATTTTCTATTGCACAGGCCAGTTTTCTTTGCCAATAGACAAACGGCAGCTGTATGAGTTTGATATCAAAGTCCCATTGCTAGTTCGAGGACCAGGGATAAAACCAAATCAGACAAACAAGGTAAGAAAGAAGTGAAATCAGAGTACGGTTTTACTTTTAATAATTTTTTAGTTATCAACATTAGGTAATAATTTATCCTCCTGTGTGTTTATGTACCAATGAAATATGTGGAGTGGTAGAAAGTGCAAAGACCTCATTCTAAAAAGTTGTGTGCTTTTGCTTGAATCGGTGAATTTAAGTAATCAGTAAATTTAAGCAATTGCTACAAAAGTAAACAAAGTGCAAAGCTCACTTTCCAAAGGCCCTGCCGTTGCTTTCGAATGTTATGGGGCCTTTTAGTCTATAAAGGTGAAATTAGGTAGTGTTTAAGCGTACCTAAAATACAAAAGTCTAATTATTACATCTGTTAGATTCTGGTCTTAAGTAAGTTTTCCTCACCCTGCAGATGCTCGTTGCAAATATTGATTTGGGTCCCACTATCCTGGATATCGCGGGGTATGACTTGAACAAGACCCAGATGGACGGGATGTCGCTCTTGCCGCTGTTGGTAAGGAGATGGACAGGGGCAGTAACCACTAAGTCTGGCAGGGGTTATTCTTCACAGTGAACACTACTTTCTTTGATAAACTGTGTAATAACCCAGATTCTTCCCTTGATGTCACTTTCCCATGGGATGTTCATAGCTTAGAGAACAAAGTAGCTATCTTCTTTAAATGCAGCTGTATTTTCATAAGCCCTACAACTTTGTTGTCATTTTGTAATAGCAAGTTGTGTCATCCCTTGGCTAATCCTGCCATTTGTAATAATTCCTGGTATGAATGCTGTGTGTTGTTTCCACCTTGCATCCTCCCTCCCCTTTTTCTTAGGATTTCTCAGCATAGACATCGGGGAAAAGCAGACTGCTCTTTAAATCTTTGGCTTACCTTGATTTTCAGTAGAATTAGTGTTTCACCCTAAACTCTGGAAAATGCACGTGGTGTTTTATGAAGTAAACCTGACCTTTCCAGTAAGTGAGCAGAAGCCTACTTAGATAAAGCTGCTTGCAGTTGATCCTTTTAGTTTTAATTAAATTTAGTCTATAAATTGAAGGCAGCTCATTTGGAAACGTAGGAGATCATCCAGATTTGAAACAGTGCTTTGCTTTTAAAACTGTATATCCAAACCTTAAGCTGTTCTTTAGACAGAAGCAGGTAAAAGGTATCTAGTTGAAACTGATGGAATCAAAACTGTGAAACTCATTGTTTTGCTGTATACACCTGTGGTGGTGCCGTATATTAACTTTAAACTTCCCTCTCCCTCTGTCTTTTAAAATGCAGCTACAAATAGAGCAGCTTAAAACTTAGTTGCTTCTTAAAGCTGTTTGTCTTTTCTTACGCCAGGGGTATCTTTTTCCATCTGTTGCAGTAGGCTGATATAAACCAGAGAGAAACAGCCTCTTGCAGGGATCTTGTCTGTAATATAGTAGTATCTGGCCATGTGGATCCTATTTGGTATTACTGCATGATTCTTTATAAATTGAAGAAAGCACTTTAAACCCTCACAAGAAGGTACTAGTATTTTTGGAGTTGGGTCCTTGTCTTCCAGGTACAGAAGACATTCTAACCTAAGACTAAATATTATTTTAAGACTGACTCAAACTAGAGACCACAACTCCGACTGCCTTGTGAGCAGTGAGCAGCGTTAGTGTTGTACCAGGCACAGAGAATTTCTTCTGTTTTGCAGTGCAGTGGACACTAAGTCATGTTAACCTCTTGTCCTAGAGAGGAGACAAAAACGTGACATGGAGATCAGACTTCTTGGTGGAGTACCAAGGAGAAGGATACAATGGCAGTGATCCTACCTGTCCTGGCCTAGGACCTGGAGTCACGGTAAGCAAGACAAGATCTGTTAATATTAGAAAATAGCTGCTCAATTAAACCTTTTTGCTGTGTGGTATAAGTAAGCTTGTACAAGTGTCTTGATAAGCAGGAACTAGCTCTGTAGATCCTGTGCAGCATTTAAGAATCGGGGAGAGACATCTAGCCACGCAGAACTGGTGTGTCCATATGACTCTACAGAACAGTCATCCTTTCCATGGGAATCTATAGGGCCTCAGGGCTGCAGAAATAGGCGGGAAGGTGTGGGCTTGGCAAAGCATGCAGCACCAACATTCTTTCTAAAATTCCAGTGACCTCATTGCACAATCCTTATCTATGACTATTATTTAATTCACGAGCTACTTCCCATATGAAAGAAGGTTTGCTTCCAGTAAAGCAGCCCGGGTAGTGTGGGTTGTGCTCTTCTCTTCAGTGTATGTGTATTCGTTTCCCAGACAAAACGCACTGAATCATGGTGAGTTTCATAACAACACTTTCTCAAATTTAAAGACAGGTTTTTGCTTAAAATCCCCAGTGGAGACTTGCATGTGTTAGGCTGAGACCCTGGTGTTCATCAGTTAACTGCAGTTGGCTTGAGCTGGTAGAAACTCTAGGAAAAGGGTTGCTAGTTCATCTTTTTTTTTCCTGCTCTGAAGTTTTTGTTCACTGCTCACTTCACAGCACTGCTTCCCAGACTGTGTCTGTGAAGATTCTTATAACAACACATATGCTTGTGTAAGGACACTGTCAACCTCCTGGGATCTGCAGTACTGTGAATTTGATGACCGGGAGGTAAGTCTGTCTGACGAGCAGATGTCAACTGTTCACAACTGTGCGAGCGACTGTCTGCACTCTTATCTGCTCCCAAGGTTTCCATAAAGTACTCCTAAAAGCAGATAAGCACTGCTTGCAGGATAAACACTGACGTGTTTATCTACTGATGAGAGTGTTTCACCAAAACTCATGTAGAGTTTTGGAAGAAAAAAAGAAAAAGGGGGGGGGGGGATCAGTTGACATAACAGCCTTCCTAGTCTTTGGGGAGGAAGAGAGAGGACGGGAGACACCTCTGAGATTGCCTCTTCCCTCTGCCAGGGTGACCGGGGTGGGCAGAGCGTGGTGGTAGCGGTTTCTATACAAGCTCGTGATGGAAACATGGTTCCAGCATCAGATAAAAGACCTTCTGGATCTGCCTTTGTGCCCAAAGCTGCCAGGGAGGCACCAAAGTGCTGGGTGAAGGCAGTTGCCCCCACACGTGCCTGCGGTGACCCTCCTTGCTGGGTTGCTTTCGCTTGCGGGGGCTCGACTTCCCCGCTTTCCCATCTCAGTCATTGCTCAATCTTGGAGTTTTTAAATGGAATTCACTCTGAAAGTTCAGTGTCCTCATCATGTCCAGGAAAAGTATGCAACTAATCCCCCTGACTCCTCTGACATCCTTTTTCCCAAGAAAAAAAGAAAAGGGGGGGGGGGGGTGGTGGTGAGAGGGGAGAAAGGAAGGGACAATAGTCTAAATTATGATTATCACCTTTGGTATCACCTAACAGCCTGCTGGGGCTGGGTTCAGTTCTCTGTCCTACCCTAATGCCATGTGGCAGAGCATTCTGTATGACAAATGTTTTCTGTTACACCGTACCTCTGCTGTTCTGATGTTCAGCTGCAGCTCTTTTCCTTGGGAAGAACTGAAATCCTGGGTTGATTACTTCTCTTCTGTTGCTCACTTGTTTGCCTGGCAAAACAAGTACTTAAGTTGCAAGTGTGAGAGGTCTGTAACCACATCATCAGTTGTTTAGGTATAAGGGACATAATGTTCTCCCTCCAGAAATTTCAAATTTCAGCAGCAGAGCACCTGCTGCACCCACAAAACTTGGCGTGTTACAGGGCAGATCTTTACTCGTGCCTGTTCGCACACAGCTGCTCCAGGGAGCACGTTGGGTTTGAGGCAACCGGGTCACAAATCTAATAAACTGCACTGTCAGCAGATGTGCAATACGTGTGTAAACAGCACGTTACCGTTCCACCACACAACATTATCTGGGAGTCTGCAATCAACAACTGAAACCAAGGGAGTAAATCCCACAAGATGCTTTTTGCAGTAAGAGCAAGAAAGACCGTGTAGGAGACCAAGATGCAGACCCTGCCCTTCATTTTTCCACTTTCTGACAATTTATGGTGAAGTTAAATGAGTGTCGCAGCTTTCTTCATAAAAGTAGACTCCAAAGTTGGTCTGATAATACAACTTCATGTCTTTCTTTTTTTTTTCCTGGTAAGAGTGTGTGATGGTCATGAAATTGTGTATGTTGAGATCCATTAAGGAAAAGACAGCCAGCTTGTCCTCTTGCTGTGATCTTACAGTCGTAAGACAGGGTCCACTTATGTGTGAGAAAAAAATTGCAGTGCAGCAGGTAGTAATTTAGGTGAAGGTAAAAACTTTTCCAACAGTAGTGTACTATCACAACACTTTACCTACACACTGTCCTGCCTTTGACCACTTAGCCATGTGGCTAAATATAGCTTGTGTGAGGATGCTGCAGTGTAGTTAAAAATAACATCTGAGACTATATGCTGCCATAAAGTGTTCTTCCTAAATAATATGATTAAATGTTAATTTGCGTTTAGGACTTAATACAGTACAGCAACTTTCTTCTGCAGGTGTTTGTGGAAGTGTATAACTTGACTGCAGATCCACACCAGATCAATAACATCGCTAAAACAATTGATCAAGAAATTCTAGAAAAGATGAACTATCGATTAATGATGCTGCAGTCCTGTTCAGGAGCAACATGCCGTACACCAGGTGTCTTCGATCCTGGGTAAACACTGATTCAACTCATTATTATGATACTTTTAAATATAACTATATATTTTTAAAATTAAGCTTTTATAGGGGGCATTTCTGATGAAATATATTACTGACATACATACTGTTGTTTAATAGAGATGCTTTCTTGATGCTTCTGGTTTTTAGTGCTTAGTGTCTATTTTAATTTAACCTACCAAATATAGCTTGATGGTATTAATGCTACCACTTTAATCTTGTCATCCAGTCTTGACTTAGAATAGTTGAAGCTCACAGTTGTGCTGAGTGATCGGAGACAAGTAACCTCAGGTTCACCTGCAAACAAGAAAAAGCTCTGCAGGTTTCTCCAGGCAGGAATTACCCAAATTCTTGCTCTGATTGTTGCTGGAGATGCTGTTGGCAAAGCACGTTTCCTGCAGGACCTAAGCTGTATGCATTGGTCAGCTGTTGTAAGCAAGTAGCACTTCTTAACCTCAACATTCAGTTGCTAATCACTTGGGCTGAAGTGTTTTCAACCTCTGTTTAAAATGTTCTCACAGTTGTGCTACTTAAGTTTGTAATTTGAGGCAGCAAAGCTTTCTGTTAGAATGCATCTCCTGAATAGTTAACATTGTACATGCCAACATGCTGCTGGTATGTTGTAGCTAGTATTTATTTCTGTAGAGTATCAGCTCCTTGGTTGTGCGTCGTTACAATTCATCTGTTGTAATATGTAGAGCCTGTCCCTGCTGCGTACTGTTAAGAAAGCAACTATTCACATTGCCTGGTACCAGAGCTATTGTAGAAATAAGCTATTTCTAGAAGTGTTGGTCACCACGGGCTAGCTGTAGCTCACAGGGACTCTCTTCCTTCCTGCAGGTACAGGTTTGACCCACGGCTCATGTTCAGCAATCACGGCGTTCGGGCACGGAGGTTTTCTGCACGGTCCTTGTGAGGCACTGAAGAGCCTCTTGCAATCAGCTCCCACTGACCAGTTCCTCCAGTGGCTGCAGCAGGTCTGTCTGTGTAACTCTCGCTGATCGCAGCTGGAAGACTTCTCATGGGCTATTCAAACCCTGTTTGGAAGGAAAACCCTTGTCTTTTAGCTGGTTGCCTTGTGCAATATGTATATTTTACAGCTGAACTGTAACTCAAAATCGTTAGACACGGCTAATCTGTCTTGCTCAGATAGTTGATTACCACCTTTGTCTTTCAAGTACCTTTTCATATCACAGGCACAGAGGTGAACCTATGCCTATGAATCTGAACAGTTTATTTTGTTCTAAAAAAAAAAATCAATAAATGTGTATTTGAGTCAGGTTAGGTAGGCAGGTGCTATTGCACAGTAATGCTCACCCATATTCGGTGTCATAGACTTCCTTAAAAGCTATGTTTAATTATAGGTTTCCTGTATCAAGCTCAAAGCTGTCAAGGACAATAGCAAACTAGCCCAAAATAGCGTAGGAAGGCTTTAGTCAACACTGTAGGATCTGACTGGCAAGTGTCTTGTGCAGAGCTGAAATCCATATGCTAAATGTTCTCTTCCAACGAGACCACTTCAAATGAGACCAATAAATTTTGTAGGACAGCTTTGGTAGCTTGCAAACAAGAATGTAATTTCAGCCTCCATCTAGTCTGAAATGCTGGAATGGGTTACTATGGACTACTGAAAAAACTCTTAGGGTTTAATATAGACCGCCTAGCAAATTAAACAAAAGAGTGTTGAGACTAACAAGTATTCAAAGAAGTGTGCCTGTATTTTGAGCTAACTCTTAGAATTCTGTTTTAATATGTGAACAGAAGTAATAATACTAAAAAAAAAAACCCACACCACAAAAAAACCCCAACACTGGGCACCGCAGTTGAGTTGATCTGTCTCTAACCTCCAAATGTCTTGAATTATCTAACATCTTATGCTGATTAGATTCTTGAAGGTAAATTATTTTGAGAGCAAACTAGCTAAAAAATAAATCATGGCTCACTGGAAGTTAGGCTAGGAGGGCTATTTTAGGCAGTTTAAGTGCTTCATAGAGTGTTGCTTTTTGGTTGAGACATAACTACTCGGAACCTGCAGTAAGTGGCCTTCACACCAAAGGACTGATGTCAGATGTCTGACTGCAGTTGCGCTATCACTTGGTTTCCCTTTGGAAGGGGGATGCTGTCTCTTCAACCTCCTGATTCGGCTTATCTGAAACGCAGCCATTGCTTGCACAGAAACTTGAGTGTCTTTCCAAATCTTGAAAAACACCCAGACTTGCGTTAGCATCTATCTTCTGTGTAGGTCCGTTGGCAAAACACCCTCTAGAAACTGAATTGTGTATCTTTTGCAAGATGATTTCATGTTGCTTGTGGGCAAATCGGCTCTGTTATCTAGCAAGATAATTGTTCCCTTATCAGTCTGTGGCACAACTGTTTAGTTTTCAGTTAGTTATTTCAGATCTTTTACCCAAATAGAGAGCATGATGATTTCAACTTCTGTCACCTAAAATCTTCTACCAAGTAATCATTAAGTAGGCAACAACGTACGACTCTTTCAAAACTGTGGAGGTGTGTACTCCTGTGCACGGATCTACAAACTGGATACAAGCAATGCTACAATAAGATAAGTTAAACTTTTTTGCCTTTTTATCCTGAAGCACAGAAGTTGTCCTTCACGTACCTTAGAGTTGCAAACTTCTGTGATGGTCTACAGGTTAGATTTTATAGAGCTTTTGTCTCAAATCCAACTCATGGTTTCAAATCTCATCTCTAGAGTGACCAAATATTTGGAGAAAAAAAAAATCACTTGAAAGGTAACTTTTCAGCTGGAGCATCTGTATAAATGTAGAGCGTTTTGGATATTCAAACTACTTACTTTCAAAAACTCAGGACTTTTTTTTTTTCTTCCACTACAACTGTAGCTTTATCCTTTTTTTTTGTTTGTTTCTGAAGCCTTAGTATTGCCCATCAATATCCTTCAGACTCTGTTCTGTCTTTAAAAACAAAACCAAAGTTGTTTTCATGCTCTCAGTTTTCTTGCACACTGAGCTAAACCTGGAGTAGTGTTTTGCTCAGATAATTCTAGCAACTTAGACTTGTTCTTTGTTTCAACTTTATTTTGGTAGCTGTGTGGAGGCTCGTGGAAAATACATTGATTGCTGCACGTTAAACCCCCAACAGTTATATCAAACCTAGGTCCTGTGTCAAGTTTCTGCTTGAGTTAAATTTCAGTGCAAGCCACGTGTGTTATGTTGCTCCTTAATAGAAAGAAAAACCAAAACTTTGTTATGGGTACAGATGTGTAATTCTAAAGCTGTCTTTTCTTAAAGTGATCTTAAGCCATAAGAAGGAAGTTTTCTTTTGAATTATTTACTTTTTGCCTAATAACTGATATGAAAGTTGACAGAATTGGTACAGATTTTTGAGTATGTGTCACCAGATGTTTCACCTAAATTAACACTTTTGCTATCTGCACAAACCTCTAAAACATTTTGTCACTAACTAGGCTCAATAACTTACACACTCGCTGTTGGAGAACCACACTATACCTGAAATCTGCCATAGGTAGTAAATGTTGTATTAAATTGAAATTCAGAATGAAATTAGTCAGTCCTTACTTAACCAGAACAGCAGCTCAGGGAAGTATCTGCTTCACTCCCACTTTTGATAAATACTGAAGAACTGTTCAGTAAAAGCATGTAGTTGAAGGAAAAAGAGGAACCAAGAGCTGCCTGCCTTCCATTGCTTTAGTGGAGTTTGTCACTCGCCTCGTGTCTATTTCCATGAAGCAGTTACTTCTGAGTATTTTTACAGCCTTGAATGAACAGTGTTAATTCTAATCCTTGATGATTATTAAAACAACACCATGAAGGAACTTTGACTCTTACCCAGATCTAACTCCCAACTAAGTGATTTTAAAACTAAATGGTCTTCCTGGATATTCCATTTCATATGCTATTTGACCGTGGCTGTATCTGTACCTTGTTACTGAAGCCATTCATGGTAAATGAAAGGGCTTTACCGGTACAAAGTTGGGTTTAGATAAAATGTGATGATTTATTTTTTTTTTGTGATCATTATTATCGAAAGCAGAGCTGTGAATTTTAATGATCTGATCTGGTAAAGTAGATACTATACAGGGAGAAATACAGTTAATAACTTTATTACATTATCCTAAACCAAAAGAACATTCCGTATCATCACTTCAGCATAAGTGATTACAGCTGGTACCTCCTTACCCAGCATAGGCCCAGTAAATTGGGCTTCTTGATTTTGATGAATAAAGCTGTAACAGGGACATCTACATGCAAACACATACCCAAAGCAGGTATAATGCCTTTTTCAATCAAGTTACATTTAAGACTGATTCTACAAGCTAAATACAATATTTCATCATAATGAAACAGCTGTCATTTACTGTGATTCAATGAAAATGAATTCTATTTGTATTACTCTCTCTGTATGTGAGCATACTTTGCTGTAGCATGTTGTAAGCGTACTTAACTTCTGCTGGTTTGAACATTTGTTTAGAAAGTGCCCTTCCAGAGGACCCTGGTCACTGCTGCACTTTTGGGGAAAGAAAAAATAAACTGCCTATCAAACTTCCTATCTTTCTGTTACTGAACTTCAGTTAAACCTTTCCACAGGATCAAGCTGTGTCACATTTCTAAAGACTGACTTCCTAATTTATAAACCTTTTATCTGCTTGCTGCCCTGCTACTTAACAGTCGCCACTAGGGACTTGTGCATGGTCACAGGGAACCTTACGTACAGTGTCTGGCAAGACAACATGTGACTGCACCAGGAAGAAACACTCAGGTGAGAGAACAAACTTAAATGCAAGCTGAACTTGCTCGTATTTCCTTGGAAACTGATGTTGAATAGATGGAAAACTTCAACAAAAAAGCGCAGAAACTGCTATTCATAATTAAAAGCAGTGTGTTCTGCCTCTGGGAAAGAGGAAGAATAAAATCCTACATAAGGCTTTTTCCAAAATGGGAACTGTGAGCAACAGTGAGTATGTGCTACTTATTCACCTCAGTTGCTGTTACAGAGTTTAATTCCTTGGATGAGCAACTGCTTAAAAATATATACACGACTATTTTCTGAACTATAGAGTGAGGTGATTTTGTACCTTTAACCTATTTAAGTCCAAGGCTTTCACAAGTTTCTGAAACAAGTATTTCTGCGTTGTATTTTCATTTCTGCTTAACCACATGGCATCAGTTTCACTTCTTCCTTCAGTGATGCAGCAGTCTTCCATTAAGTAGAGAAAAATATTTAACAGCTGCTTGAAACAATGCTGCTATCTTTCTTTTCATGCTCCAGCTTATGAAAAATGAAGTTTACTGTAGCACCACGAGAAAAGGCAGCTCTGTATTGCCTAGATACACCTTCCCATCATGCTCAAACACGTCACTGACAGCCCAAGTGACGCTACCGTCGGGGTCGTGGAAGCTTGCCACAATGTCTCCTTTGCTGTTAATTTCTAAGAACAAGCCATGTTTGTGAAGAAAAATGCTGTAGAACGATAAAGGAGTCACCTGTTTTAGAAAAAGAAATACACAGTGTTAACACTTCATTCAAGGGGGGGGGAGAAATTGCATGACTAGAATGAAATGGCAATGCTAATATATGGCCTTCCAGATGTTGCTCTAGTCAGATTCAGCTGTCACTTAATCTTTGTTGCTTAATCTCAATATCCACTGGACTGTCTCTAAAGCTGGTGGTCCAGTAATTGCTTACTAATCTTAAAGTGCAGCCAGTGCCTGTTGCATAGGAAGGTGTGGAAGTTGTTTGAATTTATTCCAGCTGCCAAAAGTCACCTATTTTCTAAAAACAGGAATAAGAGGGACTTGATGGAACACCACTGAGTCACCCACTTTAGTGTTTTTCCTGTGCAAGTTCTAGGGAAAAAGCAGCATGTTTCTTAGAAAAAGTAGCGTGGTTAATCATAACCAGCTCAATGATCCTTGCTTGGCAAGAATGACTTTGTGGAGTTTGACAAGCAAAATCCTTATATTTTCTGAAATGGCTTCTTCCTTGACAATACCACATTGCTATAAATAGCTGGCTGAGAGCTTGTAACTATGGACTACTTTTGTCAATGGAGATTTTTCTTCTTTATAAATGGGTTCTCTGTATTACCACAACAGTAAAACTGCTGTGGTTTAATATGTAAAAAAGAAGCCACTCCTCAAATGTTCCAGAAAAATCAAAGTTAGTATGTGTCGGTGTGCTAGCTGGTAAAGATGAAGCAGTCTCTTGCATTTCCTAATGAAGAATAACAAGTTCTTTCTTTCATACTTAAAAAATTAATGGTATTGTGACACTGATAGTTAATATTACACACTGTGAAAGTTACCTTTGCAATAAATCTCTTCAGGAATGGATACGGTCCTAAAACATCCAGAAAAGGAGAAAAGAAACTAGGAAAGCGCGTAGTAGATATTCCAACTCGGTATAAGCCTGTGTTTGATAATCTGATGTTGTCCGGATACCCAGGCAGGTTGTCCATAAAAACTTCTTTTTTTCCTGCATTAGCTCCACTCAACCAATAGCTGCAAAAAGGGAATTTTGTGAATGAGTTATAGTGGCTGCTGCAGAATGCAGTAAGCTTAACAGCATGGAAGATCCATCGTTTTGAGTCATGCAAGGAATTTTTCAAAATGCAGGAAGTAGCAAATGCAAAGAGGGTCTAAATTTGGGTAGTGATGATTGGTCAAAAAACTCATCTTTCTGCATGTGTGACAGTGTGCTCCACCATCAACCTGACCTTTATCTCTCATAACCTTGCTGAAGTGATGACCACCCGTGGTGGTCATAATGGGTGCATCTAGTCGTGATGGCTGCATCCAGCTCACCGCGGTTTTGGGGAGGCAGGTAAGGACACAATAGCCAAGAGCTAACTTGAGCAATGCACCCAACCTCACCACAACATTGGTACTCCAAGAGCCCGTGGAGGTCTCCTGAACAGCAGCGGGCTGCACACCAGGATCTCCCCTTCAGCAGGGACACCTCTCAAGGTTACTTCAGAGATTTCTTGCTGCAACAGATCCTCAGTAAGTGACTAAGAGTATGCTAAATTTTGTTATAAAGGATTGATTGCACATATATAATCCTTTAGACATAAACCATTGACCAATTGGGATGAGGACTGAATCCAGCGGCACCTGGACTCCTCTCTGAGAAGGAGTTTAGAAAGGAAGTGAACCTCCCTTCTGAACCTCAACTCAACAGGAGTTGACAGCTCCCTGACAGCTGTCTGACACTCTCCTCTATGCAGTAAATAACCAAGTGTACCTTGCCACCAAATCTTGTTAAAATACTGTCACATTTACTATCAAACTTTATTAAATTGTTGGTTTGTATCAGTAAATATATTGCTGCTTCTCTCTTATGAGTGAAGTCCATCTGCGACAGTATGTAACATAAACAGTACCCCCCAAGTTCTATTAAAAAAAAATCTATTCATAGAAGATGTGCCTGTTAAATGAAAACTAATACTAAATTTGTCTTTCAGACATCCGTGAAACAAAAAACTGTTAAACCACTGAGTCCCTTTAAAATGGGAAAAATAGAATGTTATGCTAATCATCGTAATCATGCAGTGACAGTTGTCCTCTGAGCTCTGTCGTAACTATAATAATGGAGTCATCAGGATAATTGTAACTGAGTATGAAGGAATTAGAGCCCAATATTTCAGTAAATCAGTATGAAAAACACATGGCAGTGGAAAGAACAACTGTTAATCTCTACCTAGAATTAACTAAAACCTGTAACTCTTGCAATATAAAAAAGTAATTTAGACTAAGTGTCCAATCGCAACTCTGTTGACTGTACATCTTCAGTTTACATTTTTAGAAAAGTAAGAAAAACCAGAAAAATAAAAACATGAAAATCACGTCTACATATTAATTAAAACCATGTAACACAAACTAATATGTAATATTCTATATCTAGGAGGAGAATGATGTTTAACATACCGTATGATTCTGCATATGCTGGTTTCTGCTATTAACACGTAGTCTTCCTCGGGAGACAGCGCAATCCCATTTGCCATGTACAAGCCCCCGAGCACTGCTCTTCCTCTGCTGGTCACAGGGTCATAGGCCAACAGGCGACCGAGGCGGTTTGTTTCAATTACCTTAATCAACACATCTAGTGAAAAACTAGGCTATCAAAATACCTGGTTTCAATTAGAACAGAAAATATTCAGAAGTTGTATTAACATGAATCAGGTAAAAGCAGACTTTACGGAACAGCAGATGGCACCTTTATAAAAACAATAAGCTCTCAGTGCTAAAGGAGCAAAGGATTCTGTTTGTGTCTTTTCCCAGGCTGATCACAGTATTACTGCAAAATCAGAGGAATGTGGGGGTTATAAAGGCCAGAATTCAAAATATGTTATTCTGCAGTTCATTCTTCAGCAAAATATTGAGGCCTATCAGGCTTCTGTGAAAAATTAAAACTCCTTCAAATCAAACCAGAAAGCATTCACGAGTGGTTTGCTAAAGCAAGCAAACAGCTGACATTTTACTTCTGATATGAAATAATTTATTAAAATTTTAGTTGCTTCTGCTAAAAATCTGCAAGGCAGCTTTGGATTATGTACACATAAACCCTGTGAAGAGGAAACTGCCTTTATGTCTGTCATTTGTGCTGGCAGCCCCTTGTCAAGTCTGAAATACTAAAGGGAAAAGATGATATACTACCAAACAATAATTCTGATAGCTTTAAGAAACAGCAAGTCACACATAAGGTATTTCAACCTTTTTTTTTTTTCCTTTAATAACTTGGACCTTAATTCCCATCCTTAATTTAAATTAAATGTGTTTCCCTTCATGTGATTTTTCTCCTTGTTTAATTTTGTCCACAGTTCTGGTAGTAAAGACGAGACTCAGGGGAAACTTTATGTCTGTGACCTCACTGAATTTCAGCTTTCCAAACAGACAGTTTGTTCTAGGTAAAGTTTTACTTGAAGGCTGTGACTACACAGAAAAGACACCTTTAAGTACACCAGTGATTTGCTACCTTGCACTTCCTACGGTATAAGAGTGTGCTTGCAGACAGATACCAGAGAGAAACTAATATGCTGTAAAAATCCAGACTGTAGTGTATCACATGACAATTTCTTTGGGCAGTCATACCCAGAGGGTTTTTTCGGAAGAGCAGCCACAGAATAGCACAGCCCATCCTCTGCCTCAGGGCTCAAACATGCTGCATTCATCGCATGCTTGGCTAAAACACACAAGCAGAATCGAAACAAGTTGGTCTCTTCTGCAACCCAGTACACGGTGCTGGCAGCACAAAAATTAAGACTTAAGCTGCCTGAACAAATGGCTACAAAGATTACCTCCTCTCACCTCATATTTGTGATGTCGTCTTTCCCACTTGCTACTTGAATCCGTAAAATAAATCAAATTTTTCTTTGATATTTCTAATCCATTTAGGAATTTGAAAGGCAGCCCATCCACACCTGGTTAATAAAAATGACTACTGATTAAAATAAGTACAAAACCACCAAGTGTTCAAAATTATTCATATCCACACAAGCTTAAGATTGCAATTTCAAATGTCATAGTTAATGCTATTGCTGTCTTTAATTTGTTCCACGCTAAAGTCCAAGCTCCAAATTACTTTCCTTTGCTGGGAAATATGTTCAGCTTGTAGCTTAACATAACACATACCAAACCAAAAGCCTCTGAAAAATATCATTGCTTTTTTTACTTAAATTTTTAAAACAAATCTTAAAAATACAAAACCAATGGGCTTTCAATCAGCCCCAATCCCCACACTCATTAGCACTGATCTCAACTGATTAAAGTGCCTTGATCTTCCAATTTATACAAAAGCATGAGGACCAAACCCAAGATCAATCTACTTCCCCACTAACCATAGCATCACCTTTTTCACTCGATAGCAGGAGGGTTTTCTCTCCTGTCCTTGGGTTGACTTTGTACAGGCCTAAATAAGAATCCACCACAATCAAGTTACCAGCCTGATCCATTCGGACTCCGTGAGGCCGGCCACATACTGGTTCATAGTCTGGAGTTCCTGAGACACAAATAGGAGGATATGTTAGACCAGGAGGTTGACAAAAGGAAGATCCCAAAATGCACAGGCTGAAAAGCACTAAACTTTCATCCTTGAATAAACCAGATCCATAAAAGCTTCCTTGAACTGTTTCTAAAAGTAACTTGCAAAGGAAGTGACAGTATAATGGCAATCTAGCAGTCTCTCTTTCTTACTACTTAAGAAAAAATTTGCTCCCAACCTTCAGAGCAATTCAGCTCTACTCTGTTTTCCCAGACAACTTTATTTTACAGATGACCAAAAAGCTCGTAGGATTACTAAATCAGTAAAACAAAATTGATTAGCTGCTGTTTATTTTATATCCCCAAGAAACATAATGGGAGAAAACCACTTTTAGGAAAGATTTAACTAACTACTTCCCATAGCTGAGGAGCCCAAGTTCCACAAGTCATGTGAAAGTCCTAGAAGTAGTTCTCAGGTAAAACTACAAAAAAACAGATCTACCATGTTTACTATTTTTATAATGAACAATTTCCGTGAGAGCAGTGAAATTAGTAAAGCTTGACACCCTACAGTTTTGTAACCTGATGCCCTCCACTCTGAAATACACATTTTCCCCTCGTATTCCAGAAAGCAAGGGATAGCATCCATTACAGCTCAGTAGAGCTCTAACGCACCACACCACCAGCTGACTGGCTGTTTGACAGCTGCCAAAAAGTTAGCAGCTGAGTTCTGGTCCCACTCCAAACAGATTGATCATTTTGGTCTTATTTTTTGGTTTCTTAACTTCCACATAGTCAATTTTTTGTATTTTATGTAAAAAAAGTTCAGTAATCTTTTTAAGGATTCTTTCAAATTCAGTCGAGACTAGCCCATAGCCCAGGGATTTGGGGGATAGGGAAATCACCTGCATAACTGTCACACATTTAGGAAACCAGGCTAAAGGCAATCAGCTATTTCAAAGGCCTTTCAGGCCTGCTTGAGTCATCAAAAAAGCAGCAGGGTAAAAATATAAATATTTTGGTGTTTGTCTTCTTCATTTGCAAGTAAGGAAAGAAAATGCAACCTTGCAGTCTAGCAGTAGGATAGGCTATTCCGAGTCTCTGATTCCTGTGCAAAATTTGAACTGTTTCTAGCATACATTTTGCCCTTGAGGCAGGAAAATAATTGCATAAATCATGTCTTTAGACCACCCTTAAAAAGCTATGTACAGAAGGACTTCTGTAAAATGTTGTTCCTTATTCAAATGGCAAATCAGTCTCAAGGGCTAGAGAAGTGTGCCTTTGTACCTTAATCCCGCCTGCATTAGGAAAAACTACATGACAACAGTGGGTTTCTCTTACAAATTTGCATAAAAGTATCAGAAAACATTAACAGCAGCAAAAATAGCACTTCAGTTGCTCATTCAGTGATATTTATACAAGCAAGTTTGTTGTCATTTTCACATCGAAACTGTCACTCACCACATTCCGGCATATCCTGCCCCATCTGAGTAAGGAAATGCAGCTGGTCACCACTGATCCTCCACAGTTTCCCATCCACAGTACCAGTGTAGATATTACCTTAAAATAAGTACATTAGAAGACTGTTTTAAAAGGGACCAAGGCAAATAAATCTTAAAAGAAGGACATTCCTCATGATTATGAACTCTTCCTTCTTGCTCCTAATTTAAATATTCTGTGCAGACACAAAGCAACAAAGCATGAAAATACACAGCTTGCTTTAAATATATTTTTATAAAGCAGAAAGTGTAACAATAATGGAGATCAGAAAAAATATGAATTGTTCATATGTTTGTTTTAAATAAACATAATACATTAAAAGCAATCTTAAGACTCCTCTGGGTTAAGCAGCAAAGACATCAAGGACAGGACTAAAGATTCATAGGGATATTCTCATGCTGTCGATGAAAATCAGTGAAAGCATTAACAGAGTCACATGATCTACCTTCTTGTCCTGAGGGTTCTGCCATGTTATCAGCTGGCTAAAATGTTCAGTAGATGAAAGGAAAACATTACAATGACTGATCCAAAACAAGAAAGTAACCCTTCTCCTACGACATGAAATCCTAAGCAAAAAAAAATAAGTGTGGCGGCTTTTTTTTTTTAAGCTGTGATGTTTTGCTTAGGTTTTGAACTACCAGAATACTAAAAAAATAATGTATAAATTTGAATTAAAGGACTAAGCACTGTTTTTATTGGATACCTCCTTAGCAGTTGCTTTCTCCTCTGCTTTTATAGTGTTTAAATTAACAAGGCAAAAACCTCCCAGAAAGTCTTCAAACCTTTTGTCACTGTATTTAACTCCAAAAACTTCCGTGTAGAGTATCAGAGGAAAAACACTAGCAGTGATTAAGCCCCACCTTTGAAAAATAGCATCCTCCTACCTTTTGACTAGTCCAGGCTCTGAAATAGCACAATGCACATCACCAATCCTAGATTTACTCTGTTCTATGACATACACTTTTAGTGTAAGGTCTGTTAACTGTCCGGAAACATTCCTCTGATTTGTCTTTTATTTACATAGAATGATCTAAAGTAGGCATTATTTTCTTTACACGTGACCTGCATTTTCACCCTAGCCTTGTTTACATTTAAAAATGTGCACTGTCAGTTGGCAAAAGCTGTTAAAAGATACTCCATATAAGTTATGCTACAATTCTGTGCCGGTATCACTAAAAAAACCACAGATTCTGACTTTGTCTAATGAGCACTTGCACCAGAGCAGACAAACAGATATAAGAATGTCTAGCATCTGCTCACTCGCATCTACGGAAAAATGTTATGTGTAAATAGGGCAGATTCTCAAAGTATCAGCTGTCAGAGCTAGATTAAAAGAATTGTCTAGGATTACTGGTGTCCAGAAAGCACCTGTTTATCCGAAGGGAGAACTCCAGAGACTCTGTTCAATACAACAACTTTGCCTGGGAAAAAACAGAGGCTAAACTTTGCTGTCATGAAATACAGTGACATTCTAATGCCTCCTGAGGCATGTTGGAAACAGCTGAAATTTCTGATCACATACCAGATTCTGTATTTAAAGAGAGAAAGCTTAGACTTGTAGTGCTATTTTCTATCATGCTATGCACTGGGCTATGATGGTATATTTAGATTTATAGAGCTAGTGCAAGTGGGTTTTGTGCTAGACTTATCTCATGGGTATTTGTAGTAAAGTGAAGGCAAAACAGAACTACTCTGATTACTTGTAATATCCTGTCTTACACATATGGAAAACTGCATTTACTTAAAACAGGCTACAGCCTCCCCACACTTAATATAACCTTGGTCATATCGTATGATTTCAACTGACTGAATCCACTCTCCTAAAGCATCCTTAAATTCAGGGAAGATCCATAGTAGAATTAACACACTCAAGAAAAATAGAACCAAACCAGTACTTTAAACATCATGAATGAGGTTTGATTTGGTAACACAGAGCACCTGCAGGATTGGTCCTCATATTTAAAATATACTCTGCAAAATTCCTGTTGTGAACATACCCTTTCTGAAAGCTGTAGAGGAAGAGGGGGAGAATAGAAAGTGTGATAAAATGACAATTTAAAATAGCACCTTTGAGGAAAGGAGGAAGGAAACAGTTTTGGGAAAACATTTGCTGGGAACGGATGCCTCAATTCGAGGTGTTGAGCTAGGCCCCTTCCAGGCCTGTGCTGCTGGGACTGAAAAGGCTTCTAATTTCAGCTTGCACAATGGCAAACAAGAAGTTCCAGATGATTACCCCTCACCTCTGCAGCACACAACACAAGATGGTATCTTTCAGACAAACATTCCCTGGGCTATTCAGTATTTCCTTGAAAAGTACCATAAAACTAGCACCAGCAATAAGGGAGGGTGTCTGAACTGCCTGGCTCAAACTGCTCTGGACTGGGAGTTACCTGCTTTTCCATACTGACTACTGCAGGAATCTATTTTATCCACTGTTCCCTATTTTTCCAGAACAGATGAGTCCTGAGTCCACAGCACTAAACCTGTGTCCTAAACAGAAGACCACAGTGTCTCTCCTCTATTTGGCTTAAACTTTCATCACAGTCCCCCACTTCAGTCACACTCTGGGTAAGAGTTGTTGAAAAGATGCAAAACATGCTACTTGCCACCACTTCAGCCCTCTGCTTCCCACCATTCTGCCTCCTCACAGCTGCCAGACAAGCAAGATGAATTACACGGATAAGAGGAGGTTTTCTATTACAGTGAAAAGTTCTTTTATATTCCAAGCTGCTCTAAAAATATGTTTCTGAGAACTATGGAAATTTTAAAACAACTCCATTTGCTTTCCCTTTTTTGGTTCCATGTTCAATAACAGCTTTTGAAATGAAAGTGTGATGAACTCAGGTACTGAGCCCAAGCAGAAAATTAATACTGGTTTTGGAGACCTGAAATAGAAAAAAAGAAACCAAACCAAGGTAAGCTTATCACTAATTCTATGTCACAAGCCCAAGCTTAGACTCACATGTGGAAGAATTCTCACAAAAATATCTAGCTGTTTTGCATGTTACTTTTAAAGAATATGTCATTTTATACTTCAAAATTAGTAAGATCCCTGTATGGCACCAATTTGTGGGTCTATGCCTTTTAACATAGCAGGACATTTGCTGTGTCCTTGGGAGAACCAGATAACAGAAAGTTGTGGAGTATTCCCAGGGATACGTTTACAAATGTGAAGATACAGAAGAACATACAATTATCTTAATATTTTTGAGCAATCATTTAGCAAACATTCCTATTTTTCTTTCTTCGGATTTAATTCTTAAGTCTTGGATTTAACTTCTTACATCTTCTAAAAACTTAACCAAGCAGATGTATCAGATGTAATGGAACAGATGTGTTACACGTAGCAGACGTATAACTTTACCCATTTAGAAGTTATCTACTTGCCTTCATCATCAACAGTAAAAGACTCGGGGCCTTTCAGTTGTCCTGTGAAAATTCTTTGTCCACTCTGAAGCTTGTTATTCACTTGCAATGATCCAACTAAGGCAGGAGGTGGCTTTTCAAAACTGCACCAAATGAAAAATAAATAAGATGTAAGAAACAAGACAACATTGGACTATAAAATTATTTGAAGGGAAAGCAGTAAGACTTTACTCCAGAGATACTAGTAACTAGTTCTTTTTTTAAAGAACTTGTTAAAACTATTAGTATTTGTTAGAACTATTACTTCAAACTAAATTAGCAATTCTGTGGAGCTTGCAGGCCCAGGCTAAAAAGAATACAGACTTTTTAGATATTTTTTTTTTCTGAAATCAATACAAACACAGAATTGCCATAATCCTAGAGTTTTATTCCCTATCATTACCCTGAGATCTACTAACAATCTCTCTATGTGTATGTATAAATACTGCACTGGTCAGCATTGTTTTGCTTGAAATTCACTTGTTTGGGAAAGTGTTTCTATTTTCCAGTTTTGTTTGAGAAACACAATTTCTCCTGCCTATGAACTTACATGTTTTATTTGCTCCTGCAAGGTGAAAAAAATATAGGAGAAGTTTTGAAAGCACAGGAATTTCCCTGGCAAACACAAGTATTCTATTGAACTTTAAAATTAAGCAGGGGGACATACATGAATGGCTCTGGATCAATGGGAGATGGTAAAAAGTAAATGCTTGCAAAAGTTGTAAGGACTGCAGCTGGAAACCCCCACGATGGGAACCTAGGAGGAAAACAAAACAATTGTATATTCATGCACATACAGGAATGGGAGAGGACTAAGAAGAATCATTTTTTTTCCATAGTTAAAAAGTTTCAGTGCTAAAAATTAAGACTGAAAGAGGACAAAGCAGACTGCAAAAACCTGGCAGTGCCTGCCACGGAGGACCAGCCCAGTGCTGCTGCCCTGCTGTCTCCCTGGTGGAGCTCCTCCTGTCCCTGGACATGTGTGATCCAGCCAAAAACCACCAGGTTTCTTCTGACAAGTTGCATTTCTAGTAGCACGTAACTGCTGCAGGCAGAGACACAAGCCCACTTACCTGTGTGGTGAGCAACTTTGCTCATTCTAGTATTTTTAAGGCCTTTTACCAACCTTGCCCTGGCAGAGCATGGGAGTATTTGCTAGTGATGGGGTTTACCAAGTGCATACATAGTCATAAGGTGGTTGTTGTGCTTAACCCTTTCCATGTAGATTTTTAGCTGGCTTTTTTTGGACTTGGCAGGAAATTTTGGCAACACATGAAGCTATGGGGGTCTCACAAGAACCCACCTTTGAGGGACCGGTCCAACCACTATCATCTCCTCAGCTGCAGGGCCACAATGCCCAGGAAAGAGCATCAGAGAGACCGCTTCAGTCCAATTAGGGAAGGTTACACCATTTTAAACAACACAAAACAACCAGGAAATGAAACATACATGTTTCTGGAGAAAAATGCTAAAAACCCTTTAAGGGACATATTTAAAAGGTTGAAAGGCATCTACAGAAGAGGGAGGAGCAGGGTATCACCACCAGCCCAGCATGCTTTCCTCACTGTATTCACCTCGTGTTTCTCCATGACGATTTGGTTTTGGTTTGGGTTTTTTTTTTCTGTATAAGAAACCACTCGCCCAAGTACAGCGGGACAGCAGCCACTGCTCCGCTTCCTCAATGGCGGAGGCACCTCTGTGACAGAGGAAAGCCCCACTCCGGCCCTGCCCTACCCGCCGTCACCCCGAGGTAAAACATGGCGGCCCCGCCTCCCTCAGGCCCTCTCCGTTTCCCTCACCGCCGCCCGCCCGCCCGGGGGAGACCTCCCCTCACGGGGGCGGGAAGACGCCATCGCCCTCCTCCCTCCCACAGATCCCGGTGCTTACATGGCGTCGCGGCGGGCGGCTCCCGCCTCGGAG